TCTTTCTTTTTTTTTTTTTTGGTGGTACCGAGGATCAAACTCAGGACCTTGCACTTTCGAGGCAGGTGGAGACATGACTAAATCCCCGGCCCATCCTCATACTCTTCAGATCTTTTATCAAATATCACTTTCTCAGTGAGACCTTTCCTTGACCAACTTACTTTAAATCACAACCTCATAGGCTGGAGGGTATAGCTCAGTGTTAGAGCATGATCAAGGCCCTGGGTTTAATTCCCACCACTGACTCCCCCAAAAACACTAAAATTAAATTACATCTCCAACTGGCCCTCACTTCAGCAGTTTTTCTTGCTTTTTTCCCATAGTACTTTTGTCATTATTTGATGGGACATGTTTTTTACTTATTATTCACAGTCTGTCTTCCCCAACTGCAACACAGCTTCTAGGAGAAATTTTTTTTTTTTTGGTACCGGGGATCGAACTCAGGTCCTTGTGCTTGCGAGGCAGGCAGCGGAACCACTGAGCTAAATCCCCAGCCCTCTAGGAGAAATTTTTGACTGTCTTGATCACTGACATTTCTTTAGTACATGAAATAGTAACTAATTCCTAGCATTCAATAACTACCTAGTGGTAGAAATGTAAATTGGTTACTTTTGAGAGCAATACGCCTGTTTCAATCACATTTTTCACTTAAGAGTAAATTACTATATAGTCTTGTCTGTGTCTCTGCAAATCAACATAAGCAAGTATTCACACTTATGTCTTCAATTACACAAGCCTAGAAGCAACCTAAATGTCCATCAGTTAAGAGACAAATTTAATAATGTACTGACAGAGAATTCTAAGGAAAAAATTACATACACAACAGGGTATGTATCATAGCACTATTTACATGACAAGGTGAGAGGAGGGCTCATATAGATACAGTATATTTGTGACAAAAATATAAAATATATATTGGTTTATTCATATACAACCTAAAAATGGATATGTGAGACACTCTTAGAAGTGACTATCTCTGGAAAGGACTATAAGGGTCAGAGCTAAGAGGAGACTTTTTGCTCTGTATCTTGATACTCAAAAATATCTGAGTTCATGTACTAAATAAGAAACACTCATATATACTGAAGGAGTCCAACTGCCACCATCATAGGCTGACCAGAGACCACTTTAAGCCTCTTTCCATCCTCCTGTTTTCACACCTGCTAAAGATATGGCTTAACCTCCTAACTCCCATTGTTCTTCAGCCCTGCTCTTGCCCGGCAACCACCATTCTCTGCACTTTCTCAAGCTTTGTTCCTTGCTTTCCCCCTTGAAAGTTCCATTTTGACCTCCTTTCACAGCCTCCTTTATTCTCTTGCCCTATAAAAGACCTTACACTGGTCTAAGATCTTACAGGTCTGGTCTAAGTGGCAGGATGGTCTCTCTCGGGTTTGTTCTAAACAAACCTGTCCTCACTGGTGTGTTCATATCTTTGTTTCTTCCTAACACAGACATTCACAAAAAGTGGCAGAAAGGCAGCAATGAAAGAGGTACTGGGGGCAAACAAAGAGTGGTAGGTAGGGCTGGGGATTTAGCTCAATGGTTCCACCACCTGCCTCACAAGTGAAAGGTCCCGAGTTCAATCCCCAGTACAAAAAAATAAGAGTGGTGGGTTAATCTATGAAGGGGAGGTGGGTAAGAAGGCAAATATAAAATATAATTCTGAGGCACTTAACCACTGAAAGTGTAAGACAAAATACCAAGTAATAAACAGGAACCTAAGTATCAGATGATACGAAGATTTAAGACCTATAAAAGATAATGGACAAGGTGACTATACATATAAGGAGATATGAAACTGGATATGAGACTGAAAGAAAACCATCACAAGAGTAGTAAAAATAAAGTATGAAGTGCTAACATCAAGATAGAGATAAGAGGGGCACACAGTCCTTCAAAATCAGATGAAAGAAGTACAGTAGTACTGCCTGGGCATGGTGGCTCAGGTCTATAATCCCAGCTACTTGGAAGGCTAAGGCGGGAAGAGGGAAGTCTGCAACAAGTGCCTGAGCGAATCAGCAAAACCCTGTCTCAAAGGGCAAAGAGCTGGGTGTGGTAGTGTATGCCTGTAATCCTAGCATCCAGGAGGCTCAGGCAGAAGGATCACTGTGAGTCTGAGGCCAGCCTCAACTACATAGGGAAACTCTGACCCCCTCCACCAAAAAGCCCCAAACACCCCTAAAACACACACAAAAAACCTAATGGGCAAAGAGCTGGAGATATAGCTTAGCCCTCCCTAGGTTCAATCTCCAGTACCAAAGGAAAAAAAAAAAGTAGAGTACTGAAACAGAAATAAATCACATCTGGAACTGTCACTGGGGTACTTGTGAAATTCATAACAAGTGATATCCCAAGACAAGGGCCTATAAGGAAATGTCCCCAAAAGCATTTTAGAGATATCAATGTTAACTAAACATCTCTACCAGCCTGGCTATCATTCACTCACCTAGACAGACTCTTTCTCCACCATGCAGTTTGTCTTCTTCAATGGAAGACCATATCCAGTTTGGTCTCTTTGAAACCTGCTACTGGGGAAAATGACACAGCACTAGACTGTTACTGCTGTGACCAAAATACCATTCGAGAATTCAGGATGAGCCCTGGGGCCCCTGAACCTTCTGAAGGATGAGGAAGGTGCACTTCTCAGAGATGCGCAAGGAAGTGGCCCTGTGAAAGAGAAAAAAGTAATGATTTTTTTACCTTGTGATTAAAGCACATAAGTGTGTACACAAAAGACCTAGAACTTTTTTCTTGAGACAGGGTCCTGCTACATAGTTCAGGCTGGCCTAGAACTCATGGTGATCCTCCTGCCTCAGCCTCCCAGATGCTAGGATTACAGGCGTGTGCTACCATGTCCTGGGAACCTAGGATATTATGAATCCTAAATTTTAAAGTCATATTCACTGAGCTATTTAACTCTCCATACATCCAGAAATAGGGAAAGGGAGAATTACTTTCAGAATTTTACTTACATAGGAAATCTGCTCATTTCTCATATGACTGGTTGCTATTTTTCTCTAGCACCATACTTCTACCCAGGTTCCCAAGCAAATTTTTACTATTGCCCTTACTCCTGCACAAATACTTCTGATTTTTTTTTTTTTTTTGCTACTGGAGATCGAACTCGGGACTTTGTGCTTTCGAGGCAGGCGGCAGAACCACTAAGCTAAACCCCTGGCCAGCACAAATACTCCTTATCTTTGACTACAGCAACAGGTGCCTATCTTCTAGAAGTAAGCCACAAGGCTATTGTGTGTAGTTAAGTTTTTGTGACAGTATTCAGGATTAAAAACTTCCTATGAATATATGTTCATCCACTTGTTCAAAAACATTTTTTTTTGGTGCCAGGAATTGAACTCAGGGCCTTGTACTTGTGAGGCAGGCGGCAGAACCACTGAGCTAAATCCCTGGCCTCAAAAACATTTTAAAAAATCAACTTAAGGACACTACTGGAACAACTGATAAAAATCTGAATGTGAGTTTGACTTAACGGATCAATGTCAAATTTTCTGATTTTGATCACTCTACTATGTACATGAAACAATGTCTTTGTTCACAGAAGATTCAAGTTGAAGTTCTTATAAAAGGAGTGTTATTTGTAACTTAGCCTCAAATGTTCAGAAAACAATTTGACATTCATGTATTTGGAGAAAAAGAAATGAAAAAAGGAGCCAGGGATTTAGCTCAGTGGTTCCGCTGTCTGCCTCAAAAGCAAAAGGTCCAGAGTTCAATCCCTGGTACCAAGAAAAAACAAAAGAAATGAAAAAAGCAAATCAAAAACAAAATGCAAAATGACTGGTGATTCTGAATAAATGGTACATGGAAATTCTCTTATATCATACCAAGTGTTTTATAAAATTAAAGGCACACAAAAAAACAAAATCACAAAAAAGTTACTATTAAAACACACACACATCATTTATTATGTATTCTGAAAAAGCTCTGTCGCCAATTCGTAACTGGGTACCTAGGTATGGCAGATATAGAAGGCTCAGAACTTTACTAAATAATGTACACAGAGGGAAACATGAGATGGTAAGTTAGCTGGAGACAACCAATACAAGGGATATCAAATTTGATATTCTGGATATGCAGAGTATCAGGTTTCTAAGAAACACGCAGGCAGCTGGATATCAGGAGTTCAGAATAGGCCAAGAGTGAAATTTGCCAGTTATCAGAATTATCACTGTGGCTAAAGAAACAGAATGTTACTATGACTGCTAACAGAATATACACAGTATGTGAAGAAGGTAGTCAAGGACAGAACCCTAGCAATGCCAACACCAAGAAACCTAGGAAAGGCTTCATAGAAGCACAGCTGGTGTTCAGTTTCAAATGGTTAAAATGCTTCTCCTAAAAACCACATAAATTGTATAAAAAATAATGTGCTTTGTTTGGGATCCAGCCAATTTAAAGTGTATCTTTAGTGAAACCAGTAGGAAAAAAGTTAATTCTAAATATGGCCCAAAACTCACAAAATACAAGTTGCGCAGGAACCAAAAAAGTAGGAATAGCCAGAAGTCCTTGAAGTACAAGATCTGAGAATTAACTAGCAAATAACCATTCTCAGGATGAGGGGCCCCTCCCTCTGTGAAAACCGCAAAGTGAAAACTGTAACTCAGTTTACTAATGAGCAACAAAATCAGGGACAGGAAAAAATTCCAAACTATCTAATCAGACTCAAATAGAACTAAACAGGAAGTTGCATAGACGCCTCAGGAGGAAGTAGGAATGCAAAGGAGGCTTCTAAGGACTTCTAAGAGTTCTGAAGTCTACAGTTAATATTTTCTTACAGAATGGGAACAGGGGCTGAGCATGGTGGTGCACACCTATGATGTCAGCATTTGGAAGGCCGAGGCAGGAGGATCGCCATGAATTCAAGGCCAGCCTGGGCTACACAGTGAGTTTAAAGCCAACCTGAACTACATAGAGAGATCCTGTCTCAAAAAAAGAAGAGAACTGGGAACTGATGAAAAGCAGAATGGAGACCCAGATTACAGAGAAAAGGACTATGGAGGAAGCAAGAAGTGTGGTTTGAGAAGTACTTGGGAATAAGTTCTAGAGATACCAAAGTTAGCAACTTCTGTAAGTGAACACAAACATTCTGGATGCTAAATGAGGTGAAAAATGAAGGTCAACAAGTCACAAAAGGAGGAGTCCTTTGCTGGAACCCTCGAGAAGGCAGGTGAAGTATGAAACAAAGAATGCGACTATGCCTCTTTTTTTCCTGGTGCTTATCTAGGAAAGCCATTCTCAAACAAATATAATACAAATAATGTCATTCATGATACTGTGCAAAAAGCAGTGAAAATGGGCAGGATAATTTCTCAACAGTTAAGTAAACTCATTTGAAGCAGACTTTTTTTTTTTTCAGTACCGGGGATCGAACTTGGGTCCTTGCGCTTGCGCAGCAGGCAGCAGAACCACTGAGCTAAATCCCTGGCCAAGTAAATTCATTTGAAAAATACCACAAAGCATATGAAAACAATCAGTGTAACAAAATCAATTTACCACAAAAATTCTAAGAAAGAAGGAATGAAAAGAACACAAAAGAGAAACAAATTTTCAGTTGCCTAAAAGGAGAGAATGGATAGAAAGCAGAAGAGTAAGAATGAATGTTTTATCTGGCACCTTATTTTTATTCCAGTTGATTTGGAACAGGGGGTTGAGACAGGGTCTCACAACGTAAGTTCAGGCTGGCCTCAAACTCACAGCAATACTCCTCCCCCAGCCTCCTGAATGCTGAGATTACATGTGTGCACCACCACGCCTGGCTTCTAGTTAATTCTTTAAAGATTGCAGAATCACAGCCTTTGGGTTTTTTTTTCCTTTAACATCTCAGGCATAGAAATAATCTTAATCTTGAAGCTTTTTGTTTCTACTGATAGCTCCAGATACCCAGCCAGCACAGACAATCTGTATCTATATGACTAATCATAATGTATGTAACTAACCAAAAAGCCAGCATTTTATGGAATATCTAAACAATGGAGGCAAGTCTATTAGTCAAATTACAGGGGTGACTCCTGCTCAATTATCATTTATAATAGTTACAAATAGGGGCTGGGGATTTAGCTCAGTGGTTCTGCCGCCTGCTGAGAAAGTGCAAGGACCCCGAGTTCAATCCCTGGTACAAGAAAAGAAAAAAAAAAATCTATAGAGAAAGTTGAACTGGAAATAAAGTTAATAACTTTGTGAGAAGTATTTAAAACTTGTATGAAGGAAATTTGATAATACTCCAGAGGAATCAGAAGGAAATTTGAATGTTATTCTAGCTACTGGGGAGGCTGAGGCAGGAGGATTCTGAGTTCAGGGCCAAACATAGTGAGACACTGGGCAACATAGTGAGACACTGTTTCAAAATAAAAAACTAAAAGAAAGTATGTACATGGATAAGAATATTTAACATCATAAAGATATCCCTTTCCCCTAAATTATTTTACAAATTTAATACAATCTCAATAGGAAATTTTTGTTTTCTGGAACCAGATAAGCTGATCCAAAAGTTTACATAGAAAAATAAAGCCAGGCATGATAGCACAAACCTGTAATCCCTATGTTCTGGGAGGCCTGGTCGAGCAATTTAGGGAATGTTTAAAATAAAAATAAAATAAAATAAAAATGTCTGGGGATAACTCAGTGTGAATATGAAAGCTCTGGATTCAATCCCTAGTACAAAAAAGCAAACAATTAAGAATAGCCAAAGAAAACTCTGAAAAGAATAAGCAGTAATATCAGCTATACCAGATATTAAAACATAATTTTAAGGTTTAATAATTTAAAAAACGAATGTCAGCTGATAAATAGATAAAAATATAAAGTCCAAAACCAGACTAAATAAATGAGAATTTAGCAAGTGGCATCTTAAAAAAGTAAAGATAAAACCTTTAAAAAATGGTGTTGGAAGAACTAGATAACCAACTGGAAAAAAGATAAGCCTGGTCTGATAGGGACAATTCTTTTTTTTTTTCGGTTTTTTTGAGACAGAATCTTGCTATGTAGTTCAGGCTGGCTTTAAACTCACTATGTAGCCCCAGTAGGCCTCAAACTCATGGCAATCCTCCTGCCCCGTTCTCCTGAGTGCTGCAATTATACAGGCACATGCCACCACGCCTGGGTAGGATAACTCTAAATGGATCAAAAATATAAATCCAAATATGAAACCTAGGCTGGGGATTTAACACAGTAGTAGCACTTGCCTAGTGTGGGCATGGCCTTAGGTTCCATCCACAGCACTGCTGAATGAACGAGAGAGAGAGAGAGAGAGAGAGAGAGAGAGAATAGTGAAAGAAAAAAACGAAGAAAAAGAAGTAGGGAAGGAAAGAGAACAGAGAAAGAAAAGAAAGCCTATGTAAATGACAGCCTTGTAAGAATTTGAAAACATGGGTAAAACCTGGAGTGGAAAAAGCTTTCTGACTATGATCATACATGAAAAGAATAATATCTAACTATATAAAAACAAAACTTTTCAGATTCTGAATGGTTTAGAAAAGAAAGCAACTACTGCAAATAGTGTCAAAACAAATGAAAATCTGGGACGTGGAGGTGGGGCTGCAAGTCATTTCACACAGATCTTTTTTTTTTTTTTTTTTGGTGCCGGGGATTGAACTCAGATCCTTTGGCTTGCACAGCAGGCAGCGAAACCACTGAGCTAAATCCCCAGCCTCACATAGATCTTTTAAAATATGACAATTCTTAGAAGACACTCTATGGAAAAATGAGGGAAAGGATATATATTTGTTGAGGGTTTTTTTCTGGTACCAGGAATCAAATTTAGGACCTTGTGCTTGCCAGGCAGGCTCAGCACCACTGAGCTACATCGCCATCCCTGAAAAGGATATACATAAACAGTTCTCAGACGAACATATATGACCCTTGCATTGTAAATTAAACCTACAATCAAGCAATTCTTTTTTATGCCTTTGGTTAAAAAAAAAAATCAAATATTCAACACTACAGTCTGATGTTAAAGTTACGGGGAAAAAGAGCTCCTGCACATTGCTAGTGGGAGTGTTAGTACTTACCCACCGGCCAATTCCACTTGGAGAAATCTACTTTAGAGATATTCCTGCTTAAGTACAAAATGACACAGATAAATTATTCAGTAAGGAAGCAGGATAGAGGAAATAATGGTAGGTAGAAAGGAAATGAGGCAAAGTGTCTTAAAAATATTGCAACTTCAAGACACAAAGTTAGTCAAGATTATCCATTATCTTCACTCCCTGGGCCTCCCCCCCCCACTTCAGGCCCATCACATCGCACCTCTTAAAGACACTATTAAGTTCATAAATTAACTTAGTTGATAAGGTAAAGGGCAGCAACCAATAGAGAATCAGATTCAAAGAGTTCAAAGAATGTCTTTAGGAAAAACATTTTAGTCACTCATCTTAAAAAACACAACTGAGCTGGGGATTTAGCTTAGTGGTTCCAGCGCCTGCCTTGCAAGTACAAGGTACAAGTGCAAAGTCCAAAGTTCGGCGTTCAATCCCCAGTACCAAAAAACCCAAAAAAACAAAAAACACAACTGACTGGGCCAGTGCTTTTTCTCCTGTAAATGGATATGGCCTTTCACGTGCAAACTGACCCATTTCTATAAATTCACACATTTCCTACCTCCATCACCTAAAAACAAATATTCTTAGCTCCAAACCAAAAGGAGCCTCTCTTGAGGGCCAGCATTCTTTTATCAGTGTATTTCTTTAATAATGATGAATAAAACCTTTCTATGCCCCTCGCTGAGGCATCCTAAAATTCTTTTCTGTATGAGTCAAGAAGCTACTTAACAAGTTGAATTGATGTCTCCACTTTCTCTTTGGAGGAACCCCATCATGTATTTTTAATGACAGCAAAAGACTGGAAACAGGGCCGGGGATTTAGCTCAGTGGTTCCGCCGCCTGCCTCGTAAGTGCAAGGTCCCGAGTTCGATCCCCGGTACCAAAAAAAAAAAAAGAAAAGATTGGAAACAACCCAAATGTTCAATAGGGGGACTACAGTACATCTAACACAATGGCACCTTACATACACAGTAGCTAAAAAAAAAAAGTGCTCAAAAGGGACATCTTTAGGGCATGTTAAGTGAAGAAAGTAAATGTACAGAAAGGTGAATATGATATATTATCCTTTATGTAAAGAGGGTGGAAACAGGAACAAACAATAAATATTCCAGGGGCCAACCAACCAGCTGAATGGTAAACAAGAACTCCAATAAACTATACTTATATCAGACAAAGAATGTGATTACAAGAGAGAAGCAGAATGAGGTATTTCTGTGAGATGTAGTTTACATTACTTGCTTTATAAAAAGTAATCAAGTTCTTTTTTTTTTTTTTTTGGTATCGGGGATCAAACTCTGGTCCTTGTGCTTGTGAAGCAGGCGGTGAAACTGAGCTAAATCTCCGGCCCCTATCAAGTTCATTTTTAAAAAAGTAGTGTCTTGGCAGGTGTGGCACATGCCTGTAATCCCAGCACTCTGGAAGGCTGAGGCAAAAAAACCCTGCAAGTTTGAGCCCAGCCTGGGCTCAATTTAGTGACATCCTATCTAAAAATAAAAAAGCAAAATATAGTTGATGTATTTCAGTGCAAAAGCCCTGGTTCAATCCTGATAAGGGGGAGGGGACAAAGGAGTCCCTTAAGTTGAAAACAAATTGATAATAACTTGGTCACTTAATTCTCAGGTAAAGGACTTCAAGTAACTTTTGAACAGAGAACTTTGATATACATCTTTAGTGAGATGCACTGGAAGGACAAAAAATGCTAAACATATTATACATATGTTAAAGAAAATTTTAAGACAATACAGTGTTTATAGTTTCTATCAATACAGTATTATTTTGAAACCATTCTTTAATGCAGGAAAGTTAAGTAATACTAACTTGTTTCAAAATTTTAAATATAAACAATAAGGAGCTAAGAAATTAGATAAAAATAGTAAACCATTTAAACTGAATTAGAAATACTAATAAGGAGCCAGGGATTTAGCTCAGTGGTTTCCGCTGCCTGCTGCACAAGCGCAAGGACCAGAGTTCAATCCCCAGTACCAAAAAAATTAAAAAAAAAAAAGAAATACTAATATGGACTCAAGGCTTAAAATGGCCTAGCAGGATGGGCATGCAGCTCAGAGGTAGATGCCTTGCATAGTATGTGTGAGGCCCTGGAATCGAACTCCAGCACTGTAAAACAAATATTTATCAAGTACTTACTAAATAGGCAATATATACATTAACTCCATCCACACAACCACTTTGTGAATAAAGATCCTTTTACCTGTGTATGGCTAGATGAGAAACTGAGGCACAAGATTTAAGTACCTGCCTAAGGTCACTGTGACATTAAAGTGGCAGTTGAAAGAGTTAACACAGGAAGTATGGCTCTGTAACCTATCTCCTTTTTGTTTGTTTTTTGAGACAAGGTCTCACCTCAGGCTGGCCTCAAACTCTTGGCAATCTGCTTGCCTGCTTCGGCAGCACATATACTAAAACTCTTGGACTCTTCCTGTCTCAGCCTCCACAGTGCTGGGATTATAGGCCTGCAGCACTACACCCAGCCCTATCTCCCCCTTTTAAAAAACTAACTGTAAAACATGTACTAGTCATAAAGTTAAAAAAAAAACACGAAGAGGTACTTGTTTTTGCCCTCTCTCTCTCCCAATACTCTTCTATTCCCAAAACTACATTAAAAGGTTTCTTAAGTGGGATGAATCTATAATTCCAGCTCTCAGGAGGCTGGGGCAAGAAGATTGTGGGTTCAAGGCCAATCTGGACTACATATTGAGACCTTGTCAAAAAAAGAGATTATGTATTTCCTGAGTTAATGAAAACAAAGATACTATAACCCCTCTTCTTTTCCCTTTTTTTTTCTTTTTTCTCTTTTGGTACCAGGAATCAAACTCAGGATCTTGTGCTTGTCAAGCAGGCAAGGTGCCACTGAGCTATATCCCCAGACCCCTTCTTTTTTCTTTGATGGTACTCAAGATTGAACTCAGAGCCTTCTTATTGAGGTACATCCCCATCCTCTTATTTTTTTATAGGGTCTTGCTAAATATCCAAGCTGGACTCAAATCCTCCTGCCTCAGTCTCCCAGACAGGTGCATGCTACTACACCCAGCTATAATCCATTTTCTTACTTTAAATATGTATACTTTACATTTTGTACTTTTTTACACTTAATAAATTTTTGTAGTTATTTCATTATTGGTATATAGAAAGCTTCTTCCTCGTTCTTTTTAACAGCTGCATATTACTATACTACCTAGCTATACCCACAGATATTGACCCAATCTATTACTGATGGGCATGAATTGTTTCTTTTTCCTGTTTGGTGCTGCGATTGAACCCAGGGCCCTAGGTTTGCTCTGTCATTGAGATATACAATCTCTCTTGTTGTTTTTAATTTTATTTTTAGACAGATTCTCACTAAATTGCCAAACTAGCCTCAAAGTTACCATATTCCTGCCTCTGCCTCCCAAGTGGCTGGGATTACAAGCCTGCACCACAACCCCAAGCTTCCAGTATTTTTCTATGCCAAATATTGCTACCATAAGCAATCTTGTATCTATATTATTTCATGTCAATGTAGATACATTTGTAGCATTAAGTGTTGAGTTAAAGCAGCTGTAATTATCACTAATACTGTCTTATCAAGTTTCCCTTCATAGGCTTTGCTTATGCCAATACCAATACTATTTTTATTTCTGAGGTTTTGTATTTATTTATTTTGCTATTTTGAGACAAGGTCTCTGTATAGCTCAGGCAGCCCTAGAACTG